TCAAACTGAATTTTTCAGATTTACCCTGTTGGCCGGTGGGGTTTAGTGAATGACACTCCGGTCTTGTATGCGTTTCTCCGGAACACAACATACATCCATGTCTCAAGATGCCGGAGTTCCTGCTAGTGATGCCTGTTGTATGATTTGGCAGAGGATCCTGACGTTAAATGCTCCTATATAAAGTTGGTGACGTGGCTTTAAAAGGCTGTCTGGGGTGTTTCTATGGCTCTCATCATTGTTTGTGGTCACAGAGTGAAGTGAAGGTGCCTCACTAACCTGAAAAATAGTACTAACTGTAATAGCGGAATAAGATGATGAAGGTGATGTGAGTAGAGGAGAATGATGCTCAGGGAGGCTTCGTGTACGTTTGGAAGTGTGTGGGCGGTTGTTATTTCCCGGCTGCCCACATCGTAGAAGTTGATTGATTCTTCGAGTACCTGAAACAGAAAGAGGCTTAGTGTTGCGTAATGCCAGAGCCCAGGGAACAACTGCTTGATGCCGGTCACACACGGCCTGTATGAACTGGTTTCTGGGATTGGTTCCGTATTAGTAAACTTACCACCTGTTGCGGATCACCGTAGGGTAAGTCGGGGTGTACAATTTTTGGGGTCGACCTTTTCTAACCGCTTCTCTCCAGAGTCGAGGGACAGTATAGCTGGCTGGCATGCGGATCATCTCAGGGAAACACCTCACTGCTGTTGCAATCCTGTTCCCCAGGGGATAACTGCTTTTAGTCTAATCGCTATCCTAACAACCTTCTTGGCATGGTAGGACGTGCAGGAACAATAGTTCCAGCCAGTGTAGGTTGTTGGGTCATCGCGATATACAAACCCGACCACCACGTCAAGGTAGCAGCTATCAGTCGAGTATGTATAGTCGACAAGTATTCCACCATTAAAGTACCGACGCCTTTACATAAAGCCAGTATGGATGGATTTTATATTAAGTTTGTTTTGTTTGAAGTATAAAGATCATTAATACTCCAGTTAGTTGCATGACATTACTTAGTTTTTCTTTTTTTTCTTCAATTCCCTTATATCCTGTATAATTAGTTATTTTAGTTTATACATATACATAAATCTTTTTCCTTTAACGTGTGATTTACAAAGGCGGTACCTAGATTTACTTATGCACTAATCTAAATACTTCCACTTGAATCTGTTTCTTTGTGTTTGTACTATACGTACTAAATTTGAATGCTGGAATTTTTATTAGTTGATTGCAGGCAATCGATACGAAGCGTTAAACCTAGGTTTCCTGCTTATTGGCAATCACCAGTTGCAGTGACCTTGAAGGAACTGATGTTGCTTGTTTCAAGATTCGAACCTGTATCATCCAGTGGACACTGCAGTCAGAGACGTTGCCATTGAGCAGCTATTCAGACTCACGATTGACCTCCTATAGAGGAATGTTTCGAATATTTTTTCAATTGGACACTGATCAGTAACACTAGTGTGTCATGTGATGAGTCTAGCCAACTAGTGTGCTAGTCACATTGTACAAACTAGACGGATAAAATTTAGTCTGGTTACTAACCACAGTGTAATTCTGGAATTATTGAGTTAAAAAAGAGTTCAAACACCATCTCTTGTTTACGTATTTTGATAACTCTACTTAAACATTTATTCCAGTACTCCTAGCAGGTTTTCCAATGGTTCTCTAACTGATGCCAGTTCAATCCTTCAACCAATCAAACAAAAATTCCCTACAAAACCAATACTCTAAAATTAATCTGATGCTTACTAGCGACTAGCCCTGTTCAGGCAGTTACGTGGGGTTGTAGTGGGAAGTCGTGACCAGTAGGGTGGGTACAGCAGGTTGAAGATCAGGCAGTAACTCATCGAACAAGACATTACGAAGTGGTCGCTCTATATCATGAATTTGCAGAAGTTAGAATTCATGGGCTGGTCATTAGATCGGGTTTCAGTGGCATAATGGTCTACGAGGTCGCTGGCCTTGTAACCAGTAGGTCGTGGGTCCGAACCTTGCTAGTGAGTGCGTGAAGAGTTCCAAACTAATAATAATGAAACAGCTGTCCAGGTTTTCCAGTGATTCTCTAACTGATGTCAGCTCATTATGAAATCCTACAACCAATCAAAAAAAAACATTCCTGTTATTCTGTTGCTAAGTATTAACTATACTCAGACATTTATAACGATAATATAAAATGAGAAATTATAGTTGACACGTATCCATCACACATAGAATTAGTAATTCTGCATAGCAGCTGTTCACACCTAGAATAGTATTTGGAGTAAAGATAAAATAAAATTATTGATTTGTAGTTTCTACTTATTAGTAATTTAGTATTTTCAAGAACTCACCATTGATTACTGTGTTAATGACGAATATTTTGGGTTGCATGAATCAAAAGCCACATGACGAACCAGTAGGGATCCTTTTTGAATGTTCAGTGGATGTATATGCGTGTACAGTTTTCCTTATGCTTCCTATATTCTACATGCTAGAACCGAGGTCCTAGGCAGCCCCTGGGAATCAGAGGAAGTCCCATCGGGTTGGTGTAAGTCACTGATTATCCCCATATACAAGAAGGGTGACATGTCCTCCTGTGATAATCACAGAGGGATTAGCTTGACTAATATAGTATCTAAAGTCCTAGGCTCAATAATCATGCGTAGACTAAGTGGTGCTCGGGAGGCACAAACACAAGAGAGCCAAGCAGGCTTTAGACCAGGAAGAGGGTGGGTGTATTGATCATATCTTCACCCTCCGACAGATTCTAGAACATAGGAATTCCTACCGGCGTCCAACAATTATTATATTTCTTGACCTAAAGGCAGCATTCGACTCTGTCGATCGGGAAGTTCTCTGGAAATGCTTGGCTGTAAAGGGAATTCCGAGAAAATACATTGCACTGATTAAGGCCATCACTCTACTCGTACTCATACAGCCAGGTGAGGGCTTACGGCGAGCTGTCATCTGAACTGATGACAACCAGTGGTGTCCGTCAAGGATGCCCACTATCCTCATTTCTATTCAACTTCATCATAGATGTGTTAATGGACTTAACCCTAAGTGACTTCAGCGACTCAGGGATTGACTTGCTACCATTGGGGAATAATCTTGTTGACTTAGAATATGCAGACGATATAGTCCTTCTAGGCGAAGACGCTGACGAAATGCAGAGTCTTCCAACACCTTGAGCTGTAATCTACGAATGTTTGGCATGCGATTCGCTCCCAGCAAATGCAAGATGATGTTACAGGACTGGACTACACCGACTCCTAGATTAGAAATAGGGAGTGAAGTGGTAGAGCATGTTGACCGCCTCACTTATTTGGGAAGTACCATCAGCGAGAGTCAACGGGTTGATCTCTGACGAAATCTCGGCACGGATACAGAGGGCTAGTTTCGCATATGCCAGTTTACGCCGTCTCTGGCTTAGTAGACGTGATATCCGGCTGGCTATCGACCAGAGGGCGGGTGTACTTCTCAGCAGTTCCGCTCGGTCCTCCTTTATGGCTGTGAGACATGGCCATCGACAGTGTAAGACATGAAAAGACTAGCTGTCTTTGATCATAGGTGCCTGCGCTCTGTCTCCCGTGTGAAGTAGTATTGTGGTGAGAGCAGACAGCTAGCCAATTGGTAGGCATTAATCTACGTCAATGTCTGGGTCACTAATATTGGCCGCGAGAAAATATGAACAAGGCTGATTCAACAAACAATCACAGCAGACTTAACGTGGGCAAATATGATTCGCAGATAGATGGCTCTACTTCTCGATGGATGCCCGAAACAACCAATCAGAAGACTGCGTTTGTCTATTTGAATGAGCTATAATAATGTACAGGAAAAATATATAAATACGTGTTGATTTCCGTAATAAAACGATCTGTTGCCTGGCCCTTGTCTTCTGTTGTTACAGTATAATAAGGTGAGCAATATTGAGGTTAGGCTTCGATCGAGTGTTAGGTAAGGAGGAGAAATCAATCGACAAGGTTGTCAAGCTACATCGATTGAGATGGTTACGACATGTGTTACACATGCTTGTCTAGTCATCGACTTCCTCGACCTACGGGCAATGTTAGCTGACATAAGGTCAGGCTGGGAAAGAGCTAACGGCGGTCAAACCGAAACATGGCTTCACCAGTCAGTGAAATCCACAACAGTTAGTTTAAGCCAGTCACGTAGGAAGGTGTAGACTTCCTGACTGGTTGGGGTCCTCTGGACGGTAAAAACCAATGGTTGGAAACAATTGGTGATATGGCTCAAAATCGTTCTCAATGGCTTGTGCAGATGCATCCACTCCTTGTGACTTATGATTTCCAGTGAAAGTATATTGTTCTTCGTTACTACTCTTCCTTTGTCTCACACCTCTGTTTACTGTCTGTATTATGCATTCCTTCTACTTTCTTCTCTTGCTTTGTGTGCTACATGGAGTGTGGCGATGTGAACTTCCGCATATATGTGCAAAGTTCTATGTCGGAAACAGATAGATAGACAGACATATGCTACATTCATTTGACCGACTGACTGGCTGGTTTCAACGTAGAACAACTTTGCACAGATGTGCAGCAGTTTCTACTTGACATATTCCCTCCATCTAACACACAATGCAAGAGAAGAGAGTAAAGAGAGATTCAAATGACTGAGAGATAATAAACACAAGTATGAGTGAGCAGAAAGAGTAGTAATATAGAAGAACAATAGAATTTTATTCAAACTTTGACAACGAGGAAATTGAGCCAGTCATATCTCCAATTGTCTCCAGCCTCCGTTGGTTTTTCACCATCTCGAAGACCCCAACCGGCCAGATGGCAGTCTACTCCTTACTACATGGCTGACTCAAACTAACTGTTGTGGATTTCATTGACTGATGAAGCCATGCTGGTTTTTGGTTTGACCGCCACCACTGTCTGTTTTCCAACCTGATCCTTTGTCAGCTCTATATTTATTTACCTGTGATGTCTGTGTGTGTGAATATTTTTTCAATAGTTCAATTTTTAAAATATTATTATCTTCTAATTCTATCATTTCAGAGTGTGGATGATGCACGTCAGTGGTTACGATATTTAGATTTGGAACTTGGAAAACCATTAGAAGAAAAAGATTATGGGGAAATTGTCGAATATACGATTGGGATACACCGAATGATCCATGGCATAATATTATCGTTAGTACTTATTACCAATATAATGATTATTATTACTGTTTATTATTTATTTTGTTCCTTTATGTTCCCAATGGGATATAGGGTGTGATTGCTAGTCTCTCACGCCTAGTCTTCTCTCTTTACCGGTCTTTTTACGCCGACTTGACAAGGTTTAAGAGGGGGTTGGCTGGGATTTGAACCCCGGACGACATGAGTGGGTTGGTTAACACTCTGTCACTGAACTACTGATGCGTTCGTTAGCACTTAGCTTATCTTTGTTTTCATTGTCTATAGACATTCTTCTTCTAGTTTCTCCATGAGCATTTGTTTTATTTTTTAATACTTTTTAATCACATATATATATATATATATATATATATATATATATATATTCACATTCAATAAAGTTGTATATTTGGCTTAAACAATAAAGGTGTATGACTTAGCCAGTTCTTCAGGTCAATATTTATTATTATTATTATTATTATTAATACACTAGGTCAACGTGATTATGATGTGTGTAAAATACTGTCACAAATGACGCCGGCATGCTACACCAGAAGATGATAATCTTGTTTTTGTTGTCGGATTTTATTGGTTAGAGATACACATTTTTGTTTTCAATAGAGTTAGTTTGCCTTTACAACCAGATTGATATCGGTTGGAGAACCACATTGAAAACCAGTATTGGAGTACTGAACAGCTATTTCCTTCGTCCTAGTTTGGGAATCATTGACAGCACGCAATTACCACATGGGGTTCGAACCCTGGACCTTCTGGTTGCAAGGTTAGCTCATTTGATTCACGAGTGAGGGGGGGGATGCGTGCTGCCGATGATTACCAAGCACTAGGATGAAACAGCTGTCCAGTAATCCAGTGCTGGTTTTCAATGGTTCTCTAACTGATATTAATCCATGGTCAAACTCGTAAAAACACATTTTGTGTTCATATGCTTCAACTAAATTGGCATGTCTACCTAACGTTAACTTTGTTTGTTTGTCACTATCTTCGTTTCATATTGATAGAAAGTGTTTGTACCTACTATGTGACTGAAGCATGAAATTTGTTATGTACACATAAGGCAGGCAATGATTAAAACTGTCACCTTTGATACTTTGTGCATTTTGAGTAGTTTAAAGTTGAAAAGATGCATAAGTGTTCAGTTTTTTCGTAAGCATTCATCATTATAATACATTATAATAACTGATTATAATCGCTCAATCATCTGTCTCAGTAGACCATATAATGTAGTAAGCATCGATTTTTTCTCATTGTTATGCATTCCAAGCGGAACATTGGGTTTCAAACTTGAATTCTGACGTTTCAGTGGTAGTGTTTGTTTTCTCACGGGAATGGGATTGTTAGCCTCAAACATGACCTTCCCTGTTTAATGAACTAATTAACGACTAAGAAGGGTTCAGAGACGAGTCAGCCAGGAATCGAATACGCACTACGTGTGTCGTGGCGTGATTGGCGAGTATTCTACTATTGAACAACCTAAAGTATCGATTATTGTTATTATTATTGTTTCCTTTACTTCAACCGCACATCTCCATTGCGTTCGGTTCTCTACCAACGTTTTCATCTGTCTCCACGTCTGCCCACATGCTTTCATCTGCTCTTCGCATGACCTTCTCGATGCTACCCTCACACTGACGACCATCTCGCCGCTCTCCATTCGGGTTCCAGTCAAGCTATGGCCTGGCGTGTTATGTCACTTGATAGTTTGTTTTCTCAGAGTAAGGCCAATGCATCTCCCTTTCTTCCTGCATATTTTTTGCACAATCGGTTCCTGGTTGGTTCTGTCCCGGTTGTTGATCTTTTCTGACCGGTCATCTGACCTTGAGTAGTATTGAGCAAAGACAGACAGCTGTTGATAAAGGTGTGTAGTTCGTTCGAAGTGCCCTTCGTGACGCGGCGCGGCTCGGCGTCAAGTCTCTCGTCTGTATAGTAGCACTGACTTCACATTAGAGTTGAAAATCCAGATCTTATTTTCATGCTAAGGAGTGCTGTTGATCCCCATATAGACTTGAGAGTGATGAAAGCTTGTCTTGTTAACCCGATCTTCGTTTTGATATTCTCATCAATTCCGTCCGCCTTTAGTTGAAATGACGTTTCCCAAGTAGTTAGTTAGGTAAAGAAGGTTGCTTCTTTGACATTTCTCCCATTTATGCTGGCTGATTGTTGTCTGTTATTGTTGCTGTTACTGTTGGCCAGGAATCGTCATCACCTCTGTTTGAAGTGAAGTCTTTGATGCTTCTTCTGCCAACTTGTTGCTTTTCACTTGCATATCGTCCAGTTTATGGGAAATCAGACATATATATATCATCGATGAAGTCCAATTCCTCCAAGTTTTCAAGAATGGATACAGTCGGAAAATTGATTTATTCGATGCTATTCAGTATCCAGGTGGAATAAGTGGTGTGTATAGCGGTTAATGTGTTGCTTTCTTCTGAATTTCTGATCCATCCACTAGTTAATTAATTAAAACAAATAAAGAAAAGACGGATTGTAGTTATACTAGCTAAAGTACAAAATCCTATAGGCAATTAGTACATTTTGGGTATTTTTGATGTACAGTTAAGTAGTATTGTAACAGCAGAAGACGAAAGACTTCATAAAGAAAACGTTCATTTGCAGTTTGGTATCCCTATATAGCCAAACTGTGTACACCTTATCGTCAACACACCATTTGCACAGATCTTCCGTGTTGTAATTCCATATTAGATATATATATATATATACTACTGATATATCTTATCAGTAGAACACACACCACAGTATGTTTAACGGGCTAAAGGTTTAAAATTAGTCTGCGCAGAAAGGTCGACACATTTTTTTTTTGGCTATTTCTATTCAGCATACGCTAAAAACCTGTATAATGAGCTGATTCTGAATTCTTTGAATGCCTTCAACTCATAAATACTTACCTATTGTACGTGTGTGTGCGTGTGTGTGTGACCGTGTGATAGGAAGAGAGAGAGAGAAAATCTGAAATGCATAGTTTTTGTTAAATATCTTGTGTATTCTTCTCAGCTGTGTGGGGTTTATGATGATGAAATCATTGCAAATTCACATATTATTGATACTACGATATTTTTCTTTTATTTGTAAATAAATTTCTAACTGTTGGTTGGTTCTTTTGCAGACAGAAATATCTATTTGAGAATTCATTTCGATAGTGGCTAACTGGCTGACTGACTGACTGATTGGTTTCAACATAGAACTGTGCACAGACAGATAAGCAGTAGTTTGACTTGACACACTCCTTCCATGTAGCACACAAAGCAAGAGAAGTGAGGAAAAAGAGATTCAAAAGACACAGAGGCAATAAACAGAAGTGTGAATGTATCTGCGCCACTAAGGACGATTTTGAACGATATCACCAATTGTCTCCAGACAATAGTTCTTAAAATCTCGAGGACCTCAAACCAGAAAGTTGACACCTGCCTACGTGGCTAACTGGCTGGCTAGCTTAAACTAACTGTTGTGGATTTCATTGACTGATGAAGCCATGTTGGTTTTCGTTTGACCACGATGTGCTAACTCTTTTCCAACCCGATCCAACCAATTTTAGTTAGCTAACATTTCCCGTAGTTGCGAAAGTCGGTGGCTAGGCTAAACAGTCTTATTACTGACTTTGCGAGGTGAAGGTGTGCGTCGGTAGGGGATCGAACTCCCGACCACATGAAGTGTGGTTGGCGAACATTCTTCCGCTGTGCCACTGACGCACGAAAAGGAGAAGCACTCTTCTTCCTACATTGCTAGATCACAGGTGCGTGATTCATCGGTGGTTCTGTGATGGTGGTGATAGAATGCTCACCATCCAACCATTTACGTATCCTGTGGTGTGGTTCGATTCCCGACCGATTCAATCCTATACCTCATAGGATTCGCCATCCAATAGTAAGCCTGGTAAAGAGGGAAGGTTAGGCGTGACATCAAGTTAGCAAACCCATCTTGTAAAAAAAAACAGTGTCACAACCATTGAAGCTTCAAAACTCAAAGACTGATGCGTTATGTTCCACTCAAAAGCCAAGAAGTCAAAGTAAAAGAAAAGAAATAAGTATAAAAATAATTTGATGAAATAAATTTAGAGTATATATTCAAGTGATAGTGTGCAGGGATTTGATTGGTTACAGGATTTCATCATGAACTGGTATTTATTAGAGAACTATTGAAAAACCTCCAGGAAGTACTATACATATGTTTCGTCCTGGTTTTGGGACTCATGCTCAATACACACCCACTGAGGTTCGAACTCAGTTCAATTCATGATGAAATCCTGAGACCAATCAATCAAATTCCTGTAAACCAACACTTGAATATCAATCTAGGGCTCACTAGTGACTGGCCCTATTCAGTTAGGTAGTTACCTGAGTTCTAGTGGGAAGTCATGACCGGTGAGTGGGCCACAGCAGGTGGTCGTGTGTGTGTGAGAACAAATACTCGCTACCGATGACATTCGCTCGTGGTCGCGCCATATCGTTAATTGACAGAATTCCGAATTTATGGACTGGCCATTGGATCTCATTGGATCGTAGTGGCTTAATGGTTTACAAGCTTGCTTTGTTTGTAACCGCAAGGTCATGGGTTCGAACACCTGCACGAGTATTGCTGATAACTCTGCAACTAGAACAAAACTGCTGTTCAATACTCACCCAATGATTTTCAATGCTTCTCTAACTGATATCAAACCACAGAGCAAAACTTGAAACTATATTTGTTGCTTATTTCTTTAAAACTATTACTTTCAAATTGGCTACATTTTTTGGAAGGCGAGAAACACATTCATCAACCTGAAACTAATCTTCGTCACTCAGCCAGCATCAACAACAAAATTCGGTCGGGTTTTCAATACAAACAACATCAAGTCAGTCAGTTCTTCTATATGGATCAGAAACTTGGCGGGCAGATCACAAAGAATATTTCCAACAGCCTGTTGCAAACCTTTATCAACAAGTAACTGTCTTCGCTCTATACTAAAGATCAGATCAGATGGCCGGGCCGGAAAGAATCAC